AGTCTTAATATGTTTAGATTAACAACTTTATTCCATATTGTTCAACAGGAAACAAAGCTTAGCAGGAGAGGAGAGCCAGAGAAGTGACAGGGAAGCTACAGGTTACAGCAGATTTGTGAACTCAGCCAAGCACAGTGGTGGCAGGGCCTAGCTGCTACAAAGAAGACATGTCTTAGACAATACTCCACGGCGACTTTTCACCCATGCTGTTGATTGCTAAATGTAATAGTCTGGTCATGATGCTGAATAAATGTGTCTTTTTTTCTTAAATGTGCGGTGTAAAGTTAGTCTACTCTGAAGCCATCTTGGTATACTTCCCCAACAGTGTGAAGTTAGAATTCCTTCAGGGTGATGCCAGGCTCCATTTGAAATTTATTTATGATTGCTTGGGTGGAGAAGCCGTTGTCTTCATAAACCTTGGCATAGTTGAACTGACAGTTACTATTGTGACCTTAATGAGTTTCACCATGGAAGGGTCACCCAAGCAACATCACAGAATTGTTCATAAAAAAAATGGTTGTTGGCACATCCTATGCAATATCTAAATTGAATCATGGTACCAGATAAAATATTAGGTGGGAATGAAGCTTGTGTATCATCCATTATCGTGTGTAATCAATAAACGATTTGATTCTCTTGAATGGAATGACAACTGTGTGGATCTGGGACTGGCAGAGATTTGTTTGGACTTTCCCTACCCACTACCCCTGATTAAGTGTCAATGTTTCTATCACAATGCAAGTTCAAAGCTCTGCCAGAGGTTAGAAACCAGCTGCTGGTGAATGCCACCCCCTAAGTCCATAGATTAAAGTGAAAAGTATTAGTAAGAATTCTAATTACAATAAACAGGCTACATAGAAGGAAAACTGCAGTTTTATTGGGGGAAGGGGAGGCCAAGGTTTTCTAAGTCAAATTATTTGGAAATTAAAATTTTGAATATGAAGTAACACTACCATGTAATTTTCTACTAACTGCAGTTTTCCTTTTGGCATTAGATCACACAGCTATCCTAAAGTGTTAATTGTATAGAAACTGAATACAGATCAGTTAATATTCAATAATTGTTATTTGTACTTAGATTCTTCTGAGCCTCCAACTTGATACCCGTTTTTAAGTGCCATTGTATCTAGTAGCATAGATGATTTGTTCATAGGACTGTATATTCCATCCCATGGGTGTGTTTTACATGGAAGTCTGGGGAGGAGGGTGTGGGGTAAGTGGGTGGCTGGGAGGTGGTGGGGTGGGAAAGCATGGATGATAGTTCCATGATACTGGCTGAGTTTGCAATAGCAGGTGGAACCTTAACTATTGAGGGAGTTTGCAGATACCTCAGGATTCGTGACAATGCCTTTAAAGATCCAGGAGATGTTCAGCTACTAGGAACTGCTAGCAAGCATAGCGCGAATGGCTTCGAGCTCAGAAACTCTGCAGCTGAGAGTAGACACTTGTGGTATGTGGAGTACAGATAAGCCAGGGGCAGGCCACGGCACCTCCATGAAAGCTAGGAGGGAGTGAAGTTTGAGTGACCATCGCAAGGAGGCAGACGAGAGTAAGGCACACCTGACTCTTAGGACTAGCAGGCAGAACCAGAAGGAAAGGTTTTATTGCTATGCTGGTAGGTAAGAACAGATTTTACTTACATCCATATAGTTGTAAAAATCCAGTTTTCTGTTGGATATTTTTTTTATTTAATGTTTTGAGCCAAAACTAGTCCAGTTAAGCTGCAACTTGGTTTTTCTGGAGATGAATTGTTTAAATTGATACCCTATTACTCCCATTTGAAGGAAGTGAATACATTATTTCTACTCTGAAGATATTTTTTGCCCTTTAATTATATTTTATCTTCCTTTGACCCATTTTCTTAAAACAGTGGCTCAAAGTAATACATTAGAAACCTTTCCCAAAAAATGGTGGGAGGGTGGGTGGATCATTAATGGGAGGTGGGGGGAATAGCTTAAAGATGGGACTTGTTCTTAGACAAGGCTAGTTCTAAAGGTTGTTTGCTTTTCTAGGGAGGAATCTGCTACAGGCTAATCTGCTGTTTTAAAAAAAAAAAAAATTCAGAAACTTCTGCCCAAGCTCATAGCTAAAAGGTAAGTTTATGATCAGTGAGTACATTGGTTTCCCAAGGTTAAAGACAGGCTCTCTGGGTATTACAGGAGTGAGTGGGTGGACCTGAAATGCAGCCCTGATTGTGCTAACAGTCATCTTCTCTTGCAGGAACATCCTTGTGAGGACAGCCTTTGTTCTGAGCTCTACTTGATTCTCACTGCCATGCAGTTTAGCTGCTCTGCAGCTCTAGAATCATTCTATTTTTGTGAATGGATCTTTTAAAAAATAAACTACATTTAATTTAGTTCTGTTTCTTGTTTCTTTTTCCCCTTCATGTTTATGGTTGGCTGGATACTGGACTGTGTCCCACTTCAACATTTGGGAGTGGGACATGTAACTGTGGGACATGTCCCATGTGAATCCAAGTGCTGGATTATAAAGTATTGCCACACCCAGCTGAAGTGGGGTTTATAAAGTTTAAAGAAAGGTTACATGTTTTGCTTTAATCAAACTAACCCTCAGTCACTATTGAGGGGTTAAGAATAGTGTGCCCCAGGAAGGTCTGCAAGAGCATTTCCACCTCCAAGGTTAAGGTTATTGCCTAGTGCCTAGGTCTCTACTGGGAGGTGTGTGCTTGCTTATCTGTTGCATTTAGTAGCTAGCTCAACAAGACTTCAAAAGAAATCTCAAGTCTAAGTAAAAATGAACCAAATGACTTTATGTTCTGAACCTAGACTTCAAGGAAAATCCAGAGGCAGTAGTTGTGCCTTGTCTTCAGGAAGTATCTATCATCTTAACAATTTTTTACTTGTCTGACCTTGGGCATTGCAGGTCTTGGGTGTATATGAGAGCCTGCCTCAAAACCCCATAAAACCTAGGACTGGCCTTGAACTCAGAGATCCACCTGCCTCTGCCACCCAAGTGCTGGGATTTAAAGGTGTGCACCACCACACCTGGCTTGGTTTATGAGTTTTTATGTGTGCAGTTATCAGCTATGTTAGCTACATGACTGAGATCCCACTCCTGGTTAAGCAAGCCTTAAAGATCCTCTAAAGATATGCTCAGATGCCTTAGTTTGTCAAAGGGATTCTTACAGTTGCTACTGTGTTCCATGCTCATTGCTACATGCTTTGCTTAGACTATGATAGCTTATCCCTGTAATCACTGAAGCAGTAGGAAATTCCCCATCAGCTCAAGGCCAGCCTGGGATACAATAAATTGGCATTTTGAGATGAGATTCCCTGGCAGACCTGTTAACTCTCAAAACTCAGACCAGAATTTGGCAATCCTGCCTCCATCTTTGTACTGGGATTAGCTTTGTGAAATCTTTAAAGTGAAGGAAATCAAACTTCTGAACAGCTAGTTAAGGCCCTGCGCTTTCAAGTTGGAATGTAGGCACACACTTTTAGTCCCAGCAGAGGCCAGTGGATCTCCGAGTTCCAGCTGGGGCTACAGGGATAGCCCATCACAAGGATTTTTTAAAACGTGGGCTATGCTTGGTCACTCCAGCTTATAATCCCAGTACTAGGAGACTGAAGCATTACCATGAACATGAGGCTAGCCTGAGCTATGAAGTGGGACCATCTCAACAAGTCTTTAGAAAAATTTTTTGCTCATTTTTGAGAGAAAAAAGTTGATAAATTGCCCCATTATTATGACTAGGAAACAAGTTACTCTCCTTAATCTCAGAAACAGCCTTTCAGGATGTGTATCTGTAGACATGAGGACTCTGGGTTGTCTGCTTCAACGGATCTCTGCTGTTGGAATAGAGCCAGTGAAATTCCCTGCAACTGACTGAAAAGACAACTACTCAACTCCAACCTAGGAAATTTGAGTGTATGTCGGGGAGATTTGAATGGACTTTGGTATGGCTAAGGAATCAAACTAGTCCTTCCTGACAGTGCAGGCCTATAATTCCAGCTCCTCAGGATACTGAGGCAGGAGGATGGTTGAACATCTGAGTAAGTTTAAAGTTATTTATCAAGCCGAGTGTGATGGCGCATGCCTTTAGTCCCAGGGAGGCAGAGGCAGATCTCTGAGTTTAAGGCCAGCTTGGTCTACATAGTGAGTTCCAGGTCAACTGGGGCTACAGGGAGAACCTGTCTCAAAAAGACAAAAGAAAAAAAAAAGAAGAAGCCAGGCATGGCAATGCACACTTTCTTTTAATCCCAGCACTCCAGAGGCAGGCAGGTTTCTGAGATTGAGGCCAGCCTGAACTACATAGCGAATTCCAAGCCAGCTGGGGCTATGAGGAGACCCTGTTTCAAAAAATCAATAGGGGCTCAGCAGTTAACGAGCACTCAATGCTCTTACAAAGGACCCAAGTTCAATTCCCAGCACTGATGTCAAGCAGCTTACACCCACCTGTAACTCCAGCTCCAGGGAATCTGACATCCTCTTCTGACCCCTACAAGCACCAGGCACACATTTGGTACATATACATACATGCAGACAAAACACTCATACACAGTAAATAAAAATAAAGATCATCATCTTCAAGGATGGAAGTAATAGCCCCCAAACATGAATTGGTTAGGTTTGTCTCATGTGACCTGGGAGGACTGGTGATAGTTTACCACTTGCCTAACATTCTTGAGGCTCTAGGCTCAATCCATAGCATCATAAAGACAAAGTTGTGCACTTCATTCAACTGAGCAGGTTTTACCAAGGCTTGAGTAGGAAGCACTCTGAAACGCTAGGATTAAACTCATTCCCGGCAAGAACAGCTCACTTAAGTCTTCAGGGTGTGTAAGATGCACCAAGTGTTTGTGTGTGCTCCAGGGATTGTCGACAGTACAGACTAAGCTTCAGGTGCCTTAGCCAGGATCTGGCCGGTTTTGGCAGTGAGTTAGGATTTCCTCCCCATTCCCAGCAAGCAGTGATTTCTGAGGCATGCTTAGCTCCATCATCCCCCAAAAGGAAGACACAATAAAAACTATTTCCACAGAGCTCTTTATAGGCCAATGCTTAGACAAGACGTGGCAGTTGAGGGCCTAGGAAGCTAAGTCCCTCCCATGGTCTCCAGGCAAGCCTTTCTGAACACACCTTGGGGCTTCTTCCAAAGCCAGGGTTGCTTCCACCCTCTCGGTCTGGGGAATTAAGTGCCTTCTGGGTGTTCGGGGTCCCTCTCCCCAGTCCCCGCCCCCTCTGGCCCCATCAGTCTGTGGCTTCCATCTTGGTCCCCCGGGGCACCAGGAAGATGGCCCCATCAGCAGCCTGCTGCAGTACATACTCCTCGGGTGAGTACCCGTTGCCGGATTCATCCCGAAGGTGCTGGAAAATGTCACGGTACAGCTCCGCCAGCTGCTGGCGCATGAGCTCCAGCGTGCGGTCGGCCTCCCCTCGGGCCCTGAGAAGCCGCTCTCTTTCGTTGCCCAGACGCTCCAGCTCCCGCTCCAGCTGCACAATGGTCTCCAGCTTTCTCTTGCGACAGTTCTGGGCCGCCACCTTGTTCTTGCCCCGCCGTCGGATGTCCCGCACTAGAGCCAGCTGGGTCTCCGTGAGTGGGTACTGCGCCAGCAGCTCGTTAAAGTCATCCACCGGCAAGTTGACAATCTTGTCCGTAGGGAAGGGGATCTTCATGGCCAGGGCCCTTCGCTCATCCCGACTCCCCGCCTCCCCCCGGGCAGCAGGCTTAGCCCGCACAGGGCCAGACGAGGACTCTAGGGTCAAGGGCGTCTCAGCAGAGGGCAAAGGATAGTTGGGGTGGGCCAAGGAGTTGGGCATCAGTGGGTAAGAGTACTCCACCGGGTACATTTCCACATACTCGCTCCTTCGCCTGCCAGCCTCTGCGCCCTCTAGCTCAAGAGATTCGGCATCACTGTAGTTGAGGGATAATCCTGAGTCGGATTCTGGGTCTTCTTGAGGCTTAGGTGGCCCCACTGGGAGCCCAAGGTCCAGAAGAGCTAGTGGGTCTGGGAGGGGCTCGTTGAGCAGGCCTGAGAGGGTCAGTGGCTTGGCTACTGGTATGCCCATGTTGCCGCAGTAGGAGTATGGGGGCTCTGGGACGTGAGTTGTGGATGCTGGGAGCTCATACGGTGCTGGTGGAGGAAGAGAAAAGCCTGCATCTGGGTGAACTGAACAGGGGCAGTAGGTCGGAGGTGCCAGGGGTCCAGAGTACGGGGTTGGTGCTTGGGGCTCAAAGGATGGCTCACTTGAAACATTGAGACCCTGCAAGGAAAGACACAAAGAGGTTTAGAAGACAACTTGAGGAAGAGAAACCAGCTCTAAGTTAGGATTAAGCCTAAAAAGAATCAATGGGGCAATAGCAAGGGACCAGAAAGGTGCCAGAAATCACCAGAAGCTTCCTGCAAAGTAGTAATGAAACTGTTTCAATGAGAATGTGGCTTACTAGGCATGATGACACTTTCCAGCCCTTGAGATATGGAAACAGGAGGATCAGGAGTTCAAGGTCAGTCGTGGCTATATAGCAAGTCAAGGCCAATCTGGGCTACATGAGACCTTATCTCAAAAAAACAAACAAACAAACAAAAACCTGAAGAGGCCACGTGTGGTGGCACCTGCTTTAATCCCAGCACGGAGGCCAGCCTGGTCTACATAGTGAGTTCCAAGCCTGCTGGCTACACAGTGAGACAAAAAGGAGGGTGAGGGAAAAGGAGGAAAAGGGAGGGCAGAGGAGGGGGAGGAGAAACCTTGGCAGAAATAAAAGTTACAGTGGTGAGACACAGGACAGCCTCACACTGGAGTTATTCAAGTCTCCTCAGGAGAAGCTACTGAAGAACTAAAATGGCTCCTGTTCCTTTATTCTCTTCAGGAAGACGAGACCATTATTATCCAAGATGACCTTTAAGAACCCTTTCCTGTTGTGGTTATCTAGGGTCAAAGGGTCAAGTTCGGTCCCATGCCATTCCTAGGGTACCCAGCAGAGGGAGCTACTGTGTGGGAGGAGGGCCTAGGGCAGATCCTGAAGCCACCAAGCCTTGGGAGATGGCAGGCACAGAGCCCAGCCTGAGGGCTAAGAGACATCCCCTGGAACTGGTACAAGTCCTGTGTCTTTTTCTGTCCCTCTGTCCCTGCCCAGGTGCAGCAGGGAGAGTACATGTTAGAAACAAGGCCCCCAACCCACGTAGAGGAGCCACCCTGCTGAAGCCTAGTGAGCTGGGGACAAAGGCATCATTGTTAGACCAACAGACACCCCTTTGTCCAACATTCAGGAGGCTAGGACCCCAGCATAGTCTGTCTCCCTTTTCTGAGGCCCCTGAACTATGGCTCTGCTACCTGGAGGAAAGGAGCCTGTTGCTAAGGGTGAGGGAAGGCAATGAGGGAAGATGGGCAGAGTGGAAGGGAGAGGGAGGTCAGGTGAGATGGTGCAGACAGAGCAGGAGCTGGGTAGAGAAAGATGTGAGCAGAGCAGCTAGACAGGAGCCCACACCCCCACTTAGATCCTTCTCTGCTCATCACTCCATTCACCCCCTTGTTGCCCCAGTACCCACTCCCCGCTCACCTGCAGCTCAGTGATGGACATAATCTCTTGCCAAGTCAGTTCCATCTCGCCCAGCTCCCCAACAGGCAGCTGTGTCACCCTGTTCCTGCTCTGCTGAGGAGGACACGGGGGCATCCTACTGAACCAGGGTCTGGTCCAGGCCCCCTCAAAACCCAAAGGGCTCCAGCAACCTGTGTCAAAGGAAGAGAGGTATTAGAACTGCTCCTGCCAGGTCCCAAGTTGTTGTGCCCTTGTGCTGAGTTGGTCCTTAGGGGGAAGGAGTAATGTCAACGGTCCCCTCATGTCAGGATCATCAATCACCCTATGAGCTGAGGGGTGCTCTCTACCTCACCTGCTCTGGCCATAGTCAGTCCTCTGGGCACACAGTAGGCATCTTTACCTTTTTCTCAGACAAGATGCTTTCTCTTTCCCATGCTCTCACTCCCCCAAACTATATTTCTGGCCAGAGACAAAGTCCAGTCTTCTGATATTCGGGATTAGTTTTGTTTTCCCTTCTGGGGCAAAACATCAAGAGTCACCCTTGCTTTCCTCCAAGGTCCTCAGTTTTAGGATCTCAGCCTTTTCTTCCCAGGTTGTGAGTTAGTGCTTGGGGATCCCCAAGGACTGTGTTGTGGGAAATGCTAGGCAGACAGCTCCTCCCCTTCTCTGAGATAGGGCCCAGGCCTGCCGGTGATAGTGGCGGCGCCCCGCCCTCTCTCCCATCCTCACCCTGGGCTCCCCTGCCTGGGCCAGATAAGAGGCTTATCAGCTGCAGGCAGCAAAGGCAGAGAGGAATGGGCTCCTTCGGAGACACTGGACCTCTATCTACCCTGTGTCCCAACAGGGTCATTTAGCCTTGTCCCACCTCATGCAACCATGGCTCCTTCTCTTCAAAGGTTGCACAACAACCATAGCAAAGACTTAGCAAGCACTTGTTAAAAACTGTGCTGGTATTTTATAAACATAGCTTATGGCACTGGACTTCATAAAGATCTTGTAAGGTCTGTTCAAAAAGTAAGCCCAATGGGTTGTGCTGATGGCTCAGTGGTTAAGAGCTCTTGTACAGGACAGGAGTTCAATTCCAAGTACCCATATCTCTTGGATGGCATACAGCTGCCTGTAACTCCTGCTCCAAGGGATTAGACACCCTCTTCTGGCCTCTACGGGCACCCACACATTATTAAGTAAATAATGAAATAAAATAAATCTGTTTTTTTTTTGGTCTTTTTGAGACAGGGTCTCCCTGTAGCCCCAGCTGTCCTGGAACTCTCAATACTCCTGCCTCAGTCTCTTAAGGACTAGGATTATAGGCATGTGCCACCCTGTCCAGAACAAAATATTTTTTATTGAATTTTTGATATTTCATACAGAACATCCTAATTATCGTTATACCTCCTTTCCCATTGACCCCTCCTATACCCCCAATGGAATTCACACATTCTGTCATTATGAGTGTTATGCCTGCATGTAGGTAAGTGCACCAGTGTCATGCAATGCCCGAGGAGGACAAAAGAGGCTGTTGGATCCCCTGGAACTGGAGTTATGGACAGTTGTTAGCTGCCATGTGGGTGCTGGGATATGAACCAGGGTCTTCTTCAAGAACAACCAGTGTCCTTAAGCACTGAACCAGCTCTCCAGCCCCCTTATTGTTTTTATTTTATATGTATTCATGTATTGCCTGCATGTAGGCAAGTGTACCCATGTCGTGCAATGCCCGCGGAGGACAGAAGAGACTGTGAGATCCCCTGGAACTAGAGTTACAGACCAGTAACTGGTATCCGCTGAGCCATCTCTCCAGCCCCCGATAAAACAAATCTTAAACAACAACAACAACTACTACTGAGGCCTAAGCTAATAGATGGCAGGCTGGGGTTGGAACCTGACAATGCCCTGTGCTCCTTTTCAGCCCCTTTCTAGTCCCACAGTCCTGGCTCTCCACAGCCCACACCTCTATGGGCAGCCTACCTCAGTCAGTTCTTCTTAGGGTATCTCAGCCCCTTTTCTGGGCAATGTCTCTTTGGATCCTCCAGTAAATCTCCCCTTTAGCCCTTCTTCTTTTGACCTGGGCTCTAGTTTCAGCTTTGCCACAAAGCAGCAAGCCACCTCACTGCTCTAAGCTATTTCCCCCTAGCTGTAAAACCAGGAGCTAAACAACTTGAATCTGGAGATCTCTTTCTGCTTGATCAGTTCTCAGAAAACTCTCAGCTCTGCCCTCATCATCTCCTTTTGGTCAGTCTCTCTCCTCATCCTACCTTCCTATTTCCTGACATCCATCTTTATCTGACTCTATTCCGGTGTTCAACAAAAGATTCCGAGTAGACTTGGCAAGGTCCTCCTGAGCTCCCAGGGCCAGACATAGCATGTACATGTGTGCACATTCATATCATACCACCACCACCACCACCATCATAGAAGTAAAAGAAACAACAGAAAAAAGAGGATGGAGCTGGATCACCTCAAACTGTATGACCTTACACTACCCATCACAGGGATGGCCCCTCCCAGCTATGCCTATGGAATCCACTCTTGGACCCACCAGAAAACTTATGGCCGTTACTAAGTATCTTTGACAGCTAATCTGGCTGAGGCTCTGCCTCCACCCCTTTGCTATATATATGACCATCCCCAGAGCTAGAGTTGGTATAGAACAAGCCCTTGGCCAATGGGTAGAGTGGGTGGGGTGTTTATGTCTGTCCAGAATGCCATTTCAACACCGGAACCCCACCCTCCAGCGGAAATTGCCCAAAGGCAGAGTGAATGGAGAAGGGGTTTTCAGGGCAGGGACCATGACTCTTGCCTCATAATTCTTCACCCACTCTACCCCACTTTGTCTCTCCTGTCTTCTTGGATCTGACTCTGAGGTGCAGTACAATGATCTTGCCCTAGGAGGCAGGAGACCAGCCTTCAAGATGCATGACCTTGGGCAAATTTCATCACAGGCTCCCATTAAATGGAGACAGAACTAGAGAACTTCATTGTGAGAGAGGAAACATATTGCATCTAACTGGAGCCACAAACTTTACTGTACACCACATTCACCATTTCCATGGGATGCATGGAAAACATTCTCTGCGAAACTGAATTTACCTGCAGGCACTCAGGAACCACCAGCATTTTAACAAGTGCCCCAGATACTCTAACTCAACAGGCCAGTCTCACCTCACCTCAAGAAACACCAGCACAGTTGGGTGGATTTGCAGGGAAAACACAAGGTCAGAACGGGGAGCAGTGAATGTTCTGTGGGCTTCATCCAGCTTGACCCCAGGCAAGGTCAAACTCCAGGTTGCACCTACGTCTGAGCCCAGCTATGAGAATTTTCCTGTGATGACCCAGAACTGGGTCTCCCCCTCTTCTTGGAATCAGGAGATGAGAAGGTAGAGGGGCAGGAGGGGGCAGGAGGCTGGACAGAGCTTGGTAAGAACTGCTGGACCATCAAGGGGCAGCTTTCAGGTACAGAAGTGTCTTTGCAACAGGCTATCGGGGGAGGGGGAACTCCATTTCCCTAGATACTTAGGGTTGGTGGGGGTCTATGCACCAGGTGTAGACACCTTTGGGTCTTGGGTGCTTGTCTTTCAGAGGACCGGCAAGCTGGCTGGCAGCCAGTGGGATAGACCAGGAGTCAGAGATGGAGCAAACAGGACACCAGAGCGAGAGTGTTGCCAAGTCAGGAATGTGGGCTGGGCTTTCAGGGACTCTTTTCTTTAGCAAAAGCAGCTCCTATTCTACAGCTTAGTCTCATCTTCAGGTCTCACAGCCACTGAATTCACTGGGTTGGTGATTCCTTCTCTTTAGTCCCCAACACTAGATCAGGGTGAACTGGACCCACCTCTCTCTCTCTCTGTGTGTCTCTCTCTCTGTAGATCAAATGCAGAGGCTTGAGCATGTCATGTAAGTGCTCTGCCACTAGCTATATCCCCATAACTCTTTAAAGATTTTCTCATGATCCCTAGGACTTCAAGGGATATGAAGTTTTCTGATTAAGGATGCAGGATCATTTGAAGAGTGATGATGGGAAGAGGAAGACGTTTGGCCTCCATTGCTAACACAGGACTCTTCTTCAATAAGGGGCTTGCCTTAGAGTCTGTTCTGAGGCTTAGTAGACTACCCCAACTTCCCAGGTGTCGGTACAAACCATGGGAAGATGAGTGGTAAGAGTAAAACTTGGGCATGTGGGTTGGTAGGTAGGCAGCCTAGTTACAAAGATTAAGGAGAACTTCTGAAAAGGGAGAGGTGAGAGAGAAAACAACAGAGTGAAGAAGGAAGAAGGATTTAAGCTGAGCAAACTCAGCCCCCTGGGAGCATACTTGACTCACATGGTGTCCAGGAACAAGGGACAGGGGACAAATTTCTGCTATTCTGTGACTCTATCCCAAGACCCAAACTCTGGTTCTTTGGAACCAGTGACTAGAGGCTGCAGCCCAGCAGCTCTGGTAGCTCCCTTTCTTCCCACTGCATCTTAGCCTCTCCTGCACACAGCCAAGAATTCCTGTTGAAGAAAGGACCCTAGGGCTGAATGCCCTCTTCTTCCTTGAAGGTCCTGCTGAGTTCCACTGCCCCAGGGCTGGAGAAACCAGGCAACAGAGTTGAGAACCCAGCTTCCCACAGCCAACCACCCCATCCGGCTGCAGCAAGGTTTCTTAGAAGTCCAGATATCCAGTGTCTGCAATTCCTCTGCTTCCCCCAAACCTTCCCACTGGCTGGGGCTGCAGATGCAACGGGGATGGCACTATGTAACCAGCCTACTGGCTCCCTCGGGCAGCAGGCCAGTTGAAGGGTTCCTTCTGGCCACTCCCTTGCTTCTCCAGGAGACCCACTGTGTGACCTCCATTCACAGACACCTCCCCCCAAGAATCCCAGAGTACCCAGGAATCCATCCGCGACTGCTCCAAAGTTGTCAGTTTCTACACCAGGGCCAATTTAGGAAGGTGTCTTAGAAACATCCGTAAGTAAAGTTGGGTATGCCGTCCCGCTCCTCCTCCACCTGTCCAGCCTGCCCTCCCCGATCCCACTGAGACCACCCTACTCCCACCCAACTTTCAGGCACCTGTGGTAGTTTCCAAGCGGGGCGAGTGAGAGATGAGGCTGCTGGTGCTGTCCCTGGAGGCTGGGTCAGAGCTGACACCTCCGGGGCGAGGAGCGCTGCCTCTGAAGGCCGGCGACGGTCGAGCCCCGCCCCCCGGCCATGGCTAGGTGCCCGGCACCGGCTGGCCCGGCTCGATCGGGTGCACCGGCCTCCTCTCGGAAGCCCTCGGTCGCCGGAGTTCGCAGTGCTTCCTCCAACCCTTCCCTTTCCCCCGTGGCCCTCCTCTCCTCCTGCCCCTTCTGGCCAAGAGAGGAAACTTGAGCCTGGTGTGGTTTCTGCCCGCACCCCGCCCCTGCCTCTCTTGGGCCCCGGGGCTCGCAGGATCCGATCTGGGCCCTCTCCAGCCGGTCCAGGGCAGTGAACTCCATGTCCCAGCTCACTTCACAGCTGATGGTACACTAATGGTCTCTAAACTTAACACAGGTTACAGCCTCCTCCTCCACTGTGGTGGCTCTTAGGGACAGGGAAACTGAGTCATAGCAAGGCAGGGGCAGCAGAAGATAAGAGCCAGGTGTCTAGCATACCAGCTGCCTAGGGCAACAGGCTTCCCTTAGCTTAAAGAAAGCCTGACTTGGAGCTATTTTGGGGAAAAGGGGCTGCTGGTTGCTTTGAGGTATCTCTCTGGCCCCCCCTTAGCCTTAGATGGTCTAAGACAAAGGCTTATATGTGAGGGGAGGTAGCTGGGGCACTGTCCTGTCTGGAGATCATTCACTTCCAGGACAGGACACATGTGTACAACATCAGATTCATCTCTAGGTTCCGCAGCAGCTCTTTGGCCGACTGCTGTGTCCTCCCAGAACTTGGAACTCTCTCATTCATCCTTTGCCTCCAAGCCACAGGCCACAGGCCATCTCTAGAAGCAAAGTCTGACTTACTCCCAGGTTTTAGAATTTTTCAGTTGTTTTCTTTGTTTGTTTTGCCACAGGGTCTCAAGCAGCTCTGGTTAGTCCAGAACTGGCTCTGTAGTCAAGAATGACTTTGAACTCCTGATACTCCTATCTCCCCTCCCCAGTGCTGGGATTACAGCCCACTCATTGTGATTGGTGAGGTCTTACACGGTTCCTCTATTATTTTTCCCCACTGATGTTCAAGTTAATTTGGAAACATTAAAAGACCAGAAGAAAGCTGAGTATTTGGCAAAGACCTGTAATCCCGGGACTCAAGAGGTAGAGAAAGGAAGATCTGTAGTTCAAGGTCATTCTTGGCCGTTCTTGGCTGCATAGTGAGTTCGAGGCCAGCCTGAGATGCATGAGATCCTGTCTCAGAAAAATAATAAAATAGACAGGAAGCAGACAAGTGCCACCCTGGGTTAGAGCTGTCATGCTGCCAGCCCTTCTTGATAGAGCTGTGCCTGCTGTTAGAATACTAGGAATATTCTGGGCATGAACAGCAGCTCTCAGAGCCCTCCAAGTACGTAGTTTCAGCAGACACCTCTTTGGGCCACCCCAGTTCTCCCCAGGATCATCCAAACCAAGCAACACAAACAAGTAAAGATTCAGGGCTGATACCACGAGCAGCCTTCCGTGCGAGCCGAAGTGGCTGAGATGGCTCCTAGCCAAGTGTCTGCATTTTATCCCCATCCTGGCACTCACACCTGTATGTACGTCACGGTTCATGTAGGACAGGAGGCAACCCAATGATGTCACTCTATGCTCCATGTGGGCTCAGAATCTTGGTCTGGGCCTGAATCTGGTCACATACATGCACATGCATACTCCTTCAGTGCCTTTAGAGGAGATGAGGGTGGTGACAGTCACACATGTGGTTGATTATATAATGATATTAGGTTACAGATAGTCTATGAATACTTATTGAATCATAATTACCAATTCGGGGCACGGTGTGTGGCATTGCAGATACAACTCTAGAAAACACAGGCCTTACCCATCATTCATTCAAAGATTTTTTTTTTGTTTTCCCCTCCAGAAACACAAAGATGAGTAAGATAGTCTATGTTCTCACTCACAGGGAATCACCTTAACAAAGGTCTATAGACGTGGATGTGATTCTGCTTGCCTGAAAACCCAGCACTTGGGAGGTAGATGCAGGAAGATGGAGATTTCAAGGCTAGCCTAGGTTATGCTGCATAGTGAGTTCCAGGTTGGCATGTGACACATGAGAGGCTGCCTCCCCCCCACCCCCCCCAAAAAATTCTGAGTGTAGTACACATGCCTATAATCCCAGCACTCTGGAAGCAAAGGCAAGAAAATCACTACAAGTTTGAGGCCAGCCTGGTCTACATAGTGCGTTCCAGGCTGGCCAGGAATACAGAGTAAGACCCTGTCTCAAAACACATGCGTGCATGCATGCATTCATACACACATACACACATAGTCTAAAAGTGCTATGGAATGGAAGAAGAAATAGATTCCAACCAGTATGTGGATGCACTGAGGAAGTTGGGCTTCTTAGGGTGATTATGGGGTGACAAACATAATAAGCCTTAGGACCCAGGGGCTGGAGACATCACTTAGTAGCAGCTTAGTATCCCTGGGATCTGTGGTGAGGAGGCCTGCATAATTTGACAGGAATTCAATGGCAAAATGTCCTTTGAGTCAAGCTTGGGAAAATGTATTTTATCCTGCAGGTGGTAGGGACTCAGAAGTATTTGAAGTCCTTTACTCCCTTTTTGTTTTTTAAATTTTTTTTAATTTATTATTTTTATGTGTATGCGTGTATTGCCTGCATATAGGTAAGTGCACCTGTGTTGTGCAATGCCCACAGACGACAGAAGAGGCTGTTGGATCCCCTGGAGCTGGAGTTATGGACAGTTGTTAGCTGCCATGTGGGCGCTGGGATTTGAACCTGGGTTTTCTGCAAGAACATTCAGTGTTCTTAACCGCTGAGCCATCTCTCCAGCCCCCTCCCTATTTGTTGAGATAGACCAGGTAGAATGAGCCAAGTGAGCAGCCTTCACTTGGGCTGGCCCCCCACCTCACCTCATCCCCTCCCATGGAAGATCCCTGTCCTGTGGTTCCTGGGCTCTGTCCTGCCTCCATGTCATCCCAGGGAGAAGGGGATTCCCTTTAGAGCCCTTCTTTCTGATACCTCAAGTCCACAATCAATGCCCTGCTACACTAAGTCTCTTTTGCTTGACTTAGAATCTGCAGGGAATAGGGGAGTAGTGTCTGAATGGATTGCATAGTGCCTGTGGCTTGGCCAAGTGACAATGCCTAAGATTTTCCAGTCTCCAAATTTCTGCCACTTCAAGAAAGGTGCTCATGATAGAACACAGAGAACTGTGGCCACATTACTTCACTATATCAGCATTCTCCACCTGTGCTGCTCACCCACCCCCTAAAAGGTTAACTTGTCACCACTGGCCAACCCAACCCCACTACGTGTGTGCACACCACCATCAGCATCAGGTCAAGCCACAAGCAATGTTGCCAAACACCCCACTGGGTTATGCAACCAGCTTCCCGAGAAGGGTGAACAGGGCGGGGTGGGTAGAGGTGGAACCAGGGGAAGGCCATGGGTCCCACAGGGAACTGGCTGTCTTGCCTGCTTGCCTACTGGTCTGACCGCAGTGGCCCCAGAGGGCGGGGCTAGGACTGGCCTTTTATCAGTGCCCCACAGCATTGCACCCGCCACCCCCTGGCTTCCTCTCTCAACAGACGGAAAGGGGAGGCAGCCGCAGGGGGCCAGGGGAGGGCTGGGTGTTATCCTAGGCAGCAGAGCTGGGCGGTTGCCCCAGATGGGGGAGGTGGTAGAGGACGTCAGGGACCAGGGAATGCTGAGGTCCCTATTGCTAAAGTCAGGGGGAATTGTATGAACTGAACCAGATCTCCAAAGCCTTCACTCATTTTTCCTTGCGTTCCAATTTGAGCGAGGATACGAGTTTTTAAACTTAGAGGAGGTCCGTTTCTTCACATAAGAGTTCTTAAAGATGACTGCGAAGGTGGAGGGGACATTGAACTCCATTCTGAGGCTACAAGAATTGGAGGTTTTCCAGGGACTTGAGTGGGTCTCAGTTCCCTCTACCTTGGTATCTAAGAGTTCTATCTTCTTAGAAGACTCTATAGTCTAGAATAACCCAAAGAAATAGCCCTTCGGGTTTAATTCTGAGGAGAAATAGGTTTTGTGGTACCTAGATTCACTTTTTCTTCTTTGTTTTTTGTTTGTTTTGTTGTTTGACACAGTGACTCACTTTGTAGACCTGTGAATTTACAATGTAGCCCAGGCTGTCTTTGAACTCCCAGCAGTCCTCCTCCCTCAGTCTCCTGAGTGCTGGGATTGTTGGTTTGAGTTACCACACCAAATGTAGTAGAGGACCAGATCAAGAGATTTAGGATTTTTAAAAATATTTTTTAAAGGTTTTATTTATTACTTTTATTTTATGTGTATGTATATATTGCCTGCATGTATGTAAGTGCACCTGTGTCATATAATGTCATATAATGCCCACGGAGGCCAGAAGAGGACGTTGGATTCCCTGGAACTAGTTGTTAGCTGCCACGTGGGTGCTGAGAACTGAATCTGGGTCCTCTATAAAAGCATCCAATGTCTTAACTGCTGAGCCATCTCTCTGGCCACGGTTTAGAATTTTTTTGTTTTGCTTATTTGCTTTTCTTTTAAGATTTTGAATCTTAAGAATTGTATTTCAGTCCTAGCATTTGCTGGCTATGTGACACTGGGCAACCCAACCTTTCTGAGCCTTGAAAAATAAAAGTAATGTTATTAAAATCTACGTAAGTGAGGTAATGTTAAAGTGAATGTGGATCTCTGTGAATTTGAGGCCAGCCTGGCCTCTATAGTGAATCCAGGCCAACTGTGGCTACAGGGAGACCCTGCTTCAAAAAGACAAAAAAAAAAAAAAAAAGAAAAGAAAAGGAAAGAAATGAATGCTTAGATTTAGAGGCCAGAGTTCTTTGGGGCTTGAGGAATTTAGAGCACTCTACCTGGAGGCCACATGGGTGGAGAGATGCTTAGGAAAGCCTAAGCTGGGAAGGGGCCTGATTCTGGGAGGAACCCAAGGCTGGGATGCAGTGTTGCTGTTGTATTGGAGGCTGCTAAAAAATGGAGCCAGTGTGACCTGGATCCTTCATTGGCACAGCTAGACTTCCAGGAACTAGCCTCGGGCCATGGCTCTCCCATCCCAGCACTGCTGGGAGGGGCTCATGCTAGCCACATAGTGGCAGGATGCCAGCCTTATGGGCTTCAGTCACCTTCCAGGAACCTCAGAACCCCTACCCCACC